GGGGAAAAAAGTGAACTTCACCAACTTTTGACAATACACGAAGGAGCTCACCAAAACCATATATTTATTAAGGACTTCTTGGGCTTCTATTAGTTTGATGATCTGATGACTCCCATACATCATATGATTGTTAGGATTGTGGTGGAGCAAAAAAGAAAGAAAAATGAAGTAATGGTTAGGTACTTAGGTTCGTTGACTTGACCAAATTTAAGTGATCATTTTCGGGAAATAGGATAATCATTGATTTTAGGCGTATCTTCCAATTTGATTCCTAACATATATATACTTGTACTTTGTTTGAAGTGAACTATTTATGAGCGTGTGTTTCTGGATGGAAAATCAATTGAATGCGTCTCAATTTTGTGTAGAATTTACTTTATAGAAATTCCTTTTTGGAGAGTTTCTTAACTATGCTAATTTACCTCTACAAAGAGTTACTTTTAAGAATTTTTTTTTTAGGGAACTTTTACTTTTCAACTTGCTCGTAATTGTCATTGAGGATTTAGTTTTACCTCATTTTTTGTATCAATGTTATTATATTGACAGTGCCACATGATTACTACCATGATAGAATTGGAGTTTGGTATGTTACCGGACACCTATCTTGATCACCATGGTGAAATTGGGCAATCATGCTATGGTTATCACATTTTAGGCCGTGAGAATGTACTCATAATGGCTGGACGCTGTCAAATTAGATGCTGAATAATCATTGGTCATCGGATGTAAGCGATATATATAGTATGAACAAAATACCATCGTGTTCATCCAACGACCACAAAGCGCGATCCTACATGCAGAGACCTTTGAGCATATTCTTGCAAAAAGGTTTGTGAACGTCACAGCCGGGTTGAAATGGTGGGGGAGGGTGCTGGTTAGCACCTTGTCCATCGCAAGCTACCATCGTGTTCATCCAACGACCACAAAGCGCGATCCTACATGCAGAGACCTTTGAGCATATTCTTGCAAAAAGGTTTGTGAACGTCACAGCCGGGTTGAAATGGTGGGGGAGGGTGCTGGTTAGCACCTTGTCCATCGCAAGCTGTCGACCATGACATAGCGACATGGTGACCTTGGTTGGGTGATTATGTTAGAGACTTGTAATGATTATCGAGTCATAGTTGGGATTGTTGGCCACCATGTTAGAATTTGGCTTATTGGTTTAGCCGATGCTGACTATTAAGTGTGTGATATTGTCATCAACAATGACGATGAGGTCGACCTCCATTATAGGGTCGGGATGGTTGGTTTAAGTCCATAGGCGGAGGGAGGCCCTTTGGGCCTTGTCCCGAGATATGGGTAAATTTCGGAAGAACAAAAAATACGCCATATATATTTATATTGGTGATGGAACACAACACTTATAGGTAGTATTAGAGTATTTTATCACTACAACACAACTCATTACTTGTTCAAAAATTAACATAAAATTAATTTATCATATTATAAATGAAATTCCAATTGCAATAAAGACCTAATCGGTTCTCTTTTCTCCTTATGCCTATTCAATATGTTCTCCAACAAACCTAAAATTGTCTAGCGATAGCGGCAATTCCACTAGTTTTGATTCTACCAACTGCAACTACAAGTATAGAAAGAGCATTTTCAGTTTTGAGTTATATTAAGAACTAGTTTCCAAGTCAATTTGGCAACCAGTTTGCTAATGCTTGTTTAGTGAGATACATTGAAAGAGACTTATTTAATAGTGTAGACAACAAATACTTTTGCGTTTCTTTCACAATATGAAATTCCTTAGTGGTTGTTTATGAAAACAATGATTGTATAATCGATTATTTTTAATATATGAATTATTTGGATATAATTAATTTTAATTAAATTAATCTTAAGTAAACACTTATATATTTACATTATAAAATGAGGACATTTGTGGTTTGAAATGCTGCCTTCGCTATTGGGTTTAACCATGACAACAATGTCGTGGTTGTCAAGTTCTTGCCCAACAACCACAATGTTGCAATAAGGAGTGTTGGTTGTGTTGACATCTACCATGATGCCATGATTGTCGTTGGGCTTTCGATTTGGTGTTGTCCATAATTCATAATGTATATCGAGCATTAACAGTTAACCAAGACATAATTAAAATCGAAGACTATCATGTTAGATATGAGTCGCTGATATGTTCTCCACAAAACCCGACTAGGATGATATCAAGAGCTAGTAACACAAGCTACACTAAAACTAACAGGATCTCCATTTTGTTATGGACGTTTTGTAAGTGCTTGTTACCTAAACCCGAACCATTCAAGAACAATCAAATCCGACCAACCTCCTACGTTGGCATATGCCCTTAACAAATATGTCGAGAGAATATTCGGACGAAAGGGTAAAACCCGGTTAACCCAAAGTAGGCCACCACTGTCAAACTACTACCAAGAAAGAAAATCTCTCTCAATTTACAAGACAGAGACAGTCTCCCAGCTCCATGTGGATATAGTCGTCGGGTCGGGTCCGGCAAAGCCATCAGACCCACAATTTCCCCAAACTAACCCTGCTCCATAACAGAAGTTGACCAAACTGCCCCTGAAAGCCCAGCCTTTCCCCGATCCCAACTACCCCTTCTTTGACCTTTCGCCAAACTCTCACCAAACTCCCCCACTCCCTCTCTCTGTTTACAATAATATTCCTTTTTTCAACCTTTTGTTTTGGGCTTTTTCTGAAACAGAAAAGCAAAACCTCCCTTTATAAAAACCTCAGCTTGCCTCCCCTGTTTTTTTCTCTTCTTCAGGGCCACCCAACCCACCAACCCTCTCCTTCGTCTCCTTCCTCGCTCTCCGACGAACCACCACCGCCAAACAGAGCTTGCCTCTTCTTTCCCGATTCAGAAATGGCGCTCTCTAATCTCTCTTCCAAGTCCCTCTACGCCTCGCCTCACCCGCTCTCTTCCAACAATCAGCTCCAGTCCCACCACCAACAACAACAACCCAATTTGTCCGTCTGGAAGAGGAATGCCGGCGGATCCAGATCCAATCTCCCCTCCATCTCCGCCGTTCACGCCGCCGAGCCCGCCAAGAACCCTGTCAAGGCCTCCCCTGCCTCAGCCGCCCCCGTCGCTGCCCCCGCCGCCTCCTCTCCTCCTGCTAAGTGGTCCGTCGACAGCTGGAAGACCAAGACCGCATTGCAGCTTCCTGAGTACCCCGATGAGAATGCTCTCCAGGATGTTTTGAAGACCATCGAGGAGTTCCCTCCCTTGGTCTTCGCTGGTGAAGCCAGGAGCCTGGAGGAGAAATTGGGGGATGCGGCTGTCGGGAAGGCGTTCTTGCTGCAGGGTGGGGATTGTGCTGAGAGTTTCAAGGAGTTCAATGCCAATAACATCAGGGATACTTTCAGGATCTTGCTTCAGATGGGGGCTGTTCTCATGTTTGGTGGTCAAATGCCTGTTATTAAGGTCAGATCCCTTTGTCCTGTTGCTGTGTTGCAGGTTTCTTTTTTTGTGTGTCATTTGTTGATTGCTTGGTAATTAGGCCATTCCGTATGAGTTTAACTAATTCAGAGCAGGTTAGGAATAGCTATATGATGATGATGGTGATGGGTTTGGTCTTATATGTGTTTGGCTTCTTGGTGCTGGATTGAGATGTTAATCTGAATTTTAGCTGTTGGGACATCATGTTTATGGTGAGGATAGGAGATTGGTTGACAGACGACTGAGATTAGTTTATTTATTATCTAATTACGGTGTTAGGTGGGAAGAATGGCTGGCCAATTTGCAAAACCAAGGTCTGATGCATATGAGGAGATAGATGGGAAGAAGCTGCCAAGCTACAAAGGGGACAATATCAATGGTGATACTTTTGATGAGAAGTCAAGGATTCCAGATCCACAGAGGATGATCAGAGCTTACTGCCAATCTGCTGCTACACTCAACCTTCTCAGAGCGTTTGCCACTGGTGGGTATGCTGCAATGCAAAGGGTTACACAGTGGAATCTCGATTTCGCTGAGCGCAGTGAGCAGGGAGATAGGTATGCTGTATGCAGACAAGTCTCTCTTGAAGCTGGCTTTCAACTATGTATCGATTCCAATGTTTTCTGATAGTGATGATTGTTGTTGTGTTTCTTGATTCATAGGTACCAAGAATTGGCTAATCGGGTGGATGAGGCATTAGGATTCATGGCTGCGGCTGGACTGACAGTAGAACACCCCATCATGACAACAACTGAATTCTATACTTCCCATGAGTGCTTGCTGCTGCCATATGAGCAATCTCTTACAAGGTTGGACTCGACATCTGGCCTCTACTATGATTGCTCAGCTCACATGGTGTGGTGTGGAGAGAGAACTCGGCAGCTCGATGGTGCCCACGTGGAGTTTCTTAGAGGAATCTCCAATCCTCTTGGGATCAAGGTAACTTTAGTATGAGTATGAATGCTGCTACCATTATCAGCTTCCTTTGTTTGAAACTAATAGTTTTGGAAACTCGTCATGCAGGTGAGCCAGAAAATGGACCCATCTGAGTTGGTGAAACTGATTGAGATCCTAAACCCTGCCAATAAGCCAGGGAGGATAACAATCATTTGCAGAATGGGTGCTGAGAACATGAGAGTCAAGCTCCCCCATTTGATCAGAGCTGTCCGTAGGTCCGGACAAATCGTGACATGGGTCTCCGATCCAATGCACGGAAACACCATCAAGGCCCCCTGTGGGCTGAAAACCCGTCCCTTTGATAATATCTTGGTATGTTTTATCTCTTTGTTAACCCATTTTAGTAACTCTTGTTCAGAAAGCTGCCATCCCTTTTATAGCCACTAATTTCCAGTACTGTGATGCAAAATATTGTTTACCAAATCATAATCATCTTTTTTTCTATACTGTTATCAGGCTGAAGTAAGAGCCTTCTTCGACGTCCACGAGCAAGAAGGAAGCCAGCCAGGAGGAATTCACCTCGAGATGACTGGCCAAAATGTGACCGAGTGCATTGGAGGATCTCGCACAGTCACTTTTGACGACTTGAGCTCTCGCTACCACACGCACTGTGACCCTAGGCTGAATGCTTCTCAGTCTCTGGAGCTAGCTTTCATTATAGCAGAGCGACTCAGAAAGAGGAGGATTGGGAACCGAGGTTTTCTTGGAATGTAGGTCACCCGCCAAAGTGATTTGGTGATCGGGGTCTCCATATACACTGCAACATACGAAAAGCAGTTGATGAACTTGGGACAGTAACTCCTCAGCGAAAAGGCAGAGCTGGTGCCATTTTAACAACTCAAGCTTAGATAAGAAGTGGTGGTCTTCTGAGTTCATTTCTATTTATTCTGTGTCTGTATGTCTGTACGGTGTGTGCAAAGCTGAAAAGCAGGGACATTTTTACGAATGATGCAGCTCAAAGCCTTGTAAAATTTACTACTTTAGTAGTTTTCATTTTTTGGTGAAAATTTCCTTGTATTTGTGAATGAACAAGTGCGTTACAATTATGGAATAAGAGTCTTTTTCAAGCAGTCAGTTTACTCTTTATCTCCATATATCAAGGCTAGGTAACTTCTTCAGCTCCTTATTTATAATACAAGCTTATTCGATCCAAACTTCAAAGCTAACACTATATGCAAAGTCGAGAAGTACAGGGTATTGCTTATTTGATTCCCCCTGGCCAATACACATTTGATTCAGACTACAGAACCGTCACCTACACAGCATTTTCACCATCTGAACAAGCATCGACATCCACAGTAGTAGCTCTTTTAGCCGAACCACCACCTCTCAAAATCGGCTTAATCTTCTCACCGAACTTCAAAACCCCCCAAAACACCGCACGATACACAACCACCATACCGGTCAACACACCAAGGTCAACCCACTTGGAATACCCTGTCTCCATCTCCCAAACATACCTCAAAATCTCCTCCCCATCAATCGTCGTCGGCACTAAACCTGCACCTTCCCCTGCATTATTCGTTCTAGGGAACTCCAACCCTACGAACTCGTTCTTGTAGAACCCTTGATTCGCGTACTTGTGGAACGCCACGTGGTACATCGGGTACTTCCAGAACCAGCTGGGGAGATCATGCGGCAGCCTGAAGAACCCTGCGCTCAGAATCATCAGCCCTTGAATCCCCGCGCCGGTCATGATCCCCATCAGGTAATTCGGGACGATGCTCGCCACGATCATCATCAGGCTCTCCACCAGGAGCATGCATAGGAAGAGCAGCGTGGCGAAGAAGGCGAAATGTTGGGGAGTTCGTTGTAGGCCGACGAGGAGGTAGGCGACTGCTCCAGGGATTAGGGAGACGATGATCAGGTAAGGAATGGAGGACACAGCGTGGCTGAGGACGAACGATCCCACTTCGTAATGCCCGTTTAGTCTCTCTCGTCCGAAGATCTGATCATTTCATTGGGGACGTTTGAATGTTAATTTTGAATGGTTAATTAATTAGAAAGAAGGAAGGAAGCCGACCTTCATGTCCTCGACGAAGGATGGGAATCCACCGATTGTCATGAATGTCAAGAATGCTGCAACAAACAACAGCATTGAACCTCTGGCCTGCAGATCATATACAAACAGAGGGCTTATATGATAATGGGTAGACTCATTGAATAATTGGATCAAATTGTCATAATTTATGAGTATTGAGTTGGATCTAAGTAGACTCACATGCACTCTAAATAATTTCGAATTTGGGTTAGGTTCTGATTGAGTTCAATTTGGATCAACCCATTTGGGTCCATATAATTATACACGTGAAAAAAAAAAACAATGTCGACCATCTCATTATTCCCTTCAAACCAATTCACACCTTTAATGTTGGCATTTTCACATTTATATTTGTTTTTGAAACAAAAAAGACAAATCAGATTAGAGGTAGATATCAATTTGGATTTGGGTATCCATGACTCTAATTTAGATCCAAACTAAAAATGGAATGGTTATTGGCCAAAAGTAATTTTACCCAAATTTGATTTAACCCATTATAAATTGGATTTGTCCAACATTATAATTCCTTTTTTTACATGAGCTTTGAAAACCACAAATGCACCCATGAAACCATTTGATGAATTGGATGAGCATATATATAGCAGAAAGAAAGTATGAGTCCGGGGAGCTCTCTCACCTGAATTGAGCCGAAATCGTGGCCGACGTCGTAAAACACAGTGCCGACGCAGAAACAGAGTCCCAAGTAGATGGCGAAACGGAGCCAGTAATACCCGAGGTCCCGGTACATATTCACAAACGATCTCCGCGTAAGGACGCTGCATTGGGTAACGAAGCTCGCCTGGCTTCCTTTCTGCACCGTACGACGGCGGCTTGCCCTCCCCTGCTGACATATGCCAGCTACTTGCTGCTCTGTTTGCTGCGAGATTTCCGACGATTGGTACGACTTCACCAGAATCTCAATGCTTTCCTCGGCCGCGGTTGTACTGTCTTGCTCGTCGAAGTCTTTGTTGACGGTTCTAAGGTAGTGGTCCGAAGGGTTTCGCTGCGGCGGACAAGGGAAGCCTGAGCTGGCGAAAAACTGCAGCAGATAAATAATGCACTTGGAATTAAGGGGTAATTTGGAACCTTGGAGTACGGAAATTGTGAATTCCATCAATGTGTGTATCAAGGTTATATCTAAGATTACATAAAACTGAGGCTACTCCAAAATTGTACACAAATATATTCTTGATAATATATGTATTCCCACAAAGTGAGGCCGAATTTTGTAAATTTTACTACCACGTTGATAATTTTTTTTTGCCAATTACCACGAGTCAACATTTTTCTTAACATTGAATTTTTAGTCTAACTATTTAAGAGCTTTTAGTGAGTAAATTTGTTATGAGCAGCTAAAATATCATATGTGGTGTAAAACTGTAAATCCATCTTTTCTCTTAATATGACATGGGTAGATCCTCTGTATGATTTGGTATCATGCTACTCCGTTCTTGAATATTTATTGTAAAAAATCTATCTTTCCTCTCTCGAGACGACCCCATAAGTGCCAAACAATGAATGTATAGTAAAACAAAGGGGTAAATGCCACGTTTGGTCATTGGGTTTACTAAAATGTACATGTTTAACCACTAGAAAAAATTAATATCAACGTTGGTCACTCGAATTAAAATAATAGTACACATTTAACGGTCAACTTTGACAGTTAACTACCACCTAGGATGAAGTTAACGGAGAGTGATCATTGGTGAAAAGAATATATAAAGTTAGTGACCACAAATAAAATTAAATATTTTTAGTGACCAAACATGAACATTTTTAATAATTCGAGTGACCAACCTTGCAATTAACCATAAAACAAAGCGATTACTACAAAATAAAAGTAGGAAGGTACCTACCTGTTGGGCCAAGGCGGCAGGCCCAAAATACACGGTAGTCCCAGAACATAGCAGGCTGAGGTTGTGGAACAGCTGGAAGACTTCCGCAGCAGGCTGGTGAATGGACGCAATCACCGTCATGCCCTCGTGCCGGGCCCAGTGGGCGATCCTTTTCATCACGTGGTACGAGGCCGCGCTGTCCAGCCCGCTCGTGGGCTCGTCCAGAAACAGCAGCTTGGGCCTCATCAGAATCTCGATGCAGATGCTCACTCTTCTCTTCTGCCCGCCGCTCAGCCCTTTCGCCGCCGACCAGGACCCACCGATCCTGGTGTCGATGCAGTCCTGGAGCCCCATCTCCCTGATCGTCGTCTCCGCCCGCCGTTTCTTATCTGACGCTGGCATCGCGTCCGGCAGCTGGAGCATCGCTGAGTATGTTATGGCTTCCCTCACCGTCAATGTCGTCATCAGCGCGTCATCTTGGGTCACGTACGCCTGCATAAATTTTAAATTTATGTTTTTTTTTATAATTCGATTTTGAACGAGCGGCCATGCAATAATCTCAAGTTAACGTAACCAATTTGTTGTATATAACTGAGCCAGATAACTTAATAGTTTATGGTTTTGTCGTTAAATCGTTATAAAATCGTTTGTTAATTTTTTTTAAACCGCAAAATTCAGCTATATATCCACAACTATCAGGTTTGTGACAAATATATCCACAACTATCGAAATACACGAAATATCCATTTCTGTCCACTCCGTTAACTCCGTCAGTTAACTTGATGACTGGACATACAGTGGATGCTTAGTTGGCGTGTTTTTGACCCCACTAAATGACGTGGATTAAAAGAGAAAAAAAAATTTAGGAAAAATATAATTGTATCTCCACAACTATCAGGTTTGTGACAAATATATCCACAACTATCGAAATACACGCAATATCCTAAAATCGGAAGGTTGTGTGACAAATCTATCCACTTTCGTCTAAAACTATAACGGCGTGTCAGACGACGTTAAATTGACTAACGGAATGCTGAATCGATGCCATCTCACCTGCCACATAAGCCAAAACGCAACCAAATTTTACACCATTATCTGTTAGACCTCGCTGCTGCAGTCTTCTCTGTTGGCGATTTGGTTAGATTCAAACTTTTTTTGTTTGAGATTCAAGCTTGGTATCACCATGACGCCGACTGCATGGAAGCCGTCGGAGTAAAAGGGAGGAAATGGTTGGGGATTGTGGTTGGAATCGAAATATGGGCTGAGTAGGGCTATTTGTGGGTTTAGGCGTCGATCGGAGGAGGATCAGTGGTTATCGGGCTTTTTTCTGGGTTGGATTTTTAGTCTCGCCGTCTATGGTTTTTAGGATTTTTTTTTTAAATTCTCTTTTAATCCAAGTCATTCAGTTGGGTCAGAAACACGCCAACTAAACATCCACCGTCTGTCTAGTCGTCAAGTTAACTGACGGAGTTAACGGAGTGGACGAAAATGGATATTTCGTGTATTTCGATAGTTGTGGATATAGTTGTCACAAACCTGATAGTGGTGGATATACAACTGTATTTGACCTTTATTCAGCTAGCTTATTTGGCATCTATGTGTAAAGTTTGGTTGCTTTTTGGCTTATGTGGCAGGTGAGATGGCATCGATTCAGCATTCCGTTAGTCAATTTAACGTCGTCTAACACGCCGTTATAGTTTCACGGTTGTGGATAGATTTGTCACACAACCTTCCGATTTTTGGATATTTCGTGTATTTCGATAGTTGTGGATATATTTGTCACAAACCTAATAGTTATGGATATACAACTGTATTTTGCCTAAGATAAAAGACATATATAATACATAATTTAGGACTGAAATTTATCACTAACCAAAAAACTATGTCTAATCTATATCATCTATCATCAAAACTTCTAACAGATCATTCAAACTATCTCACAAAAGAAATCATAAATATTTATATTAAATTTAAGTTATTAATTAGGGCACCAATCCATAGTGGGCCACATAAGGTCGACAAAGACGCCGAGAATTGAAGAAAGAATCAATTATTTTGTCACGTTAGGTGACAAAACACCTAATTCACTCATTTTTTCATTTATTTTCGTCATATTTGCGTTATTCACGTCATATATGTGTTATTCACGTAAGAGTGTTGATTATTCACACAACCAATATTGTTAATCATGAAACCTGGTCTTTATTCACGCATATTGTTATTTATTCACCATTCTAAACTTTAATTTTAAACTTTGAATATATCAAAATGGATGCCTTTTTTATATTATGATTAATGCAACACATTTTTACAGATTAATTGAGAATCCAAATTTAATTTCATAAAATATAGCCAATACAAATTATTTTTTTGGGGGGGGGGGATTTTGATTTTCCATTTACTTGAATAACTTACAATCTTACGTGAACAATCATAGTATTACGTGAACAAACACCAAATGGCGTGAATGGGCACAAAAATACGTGAAAAAGCTGGCTTTAGGTGTTTTGTCACCTAACGTGATAAGAGATCTTTTCCTTGAATAAAATGAAGCATAAAGAAATTTTTTTTAACTAACTAGGTGTTTTGTCACCCATCGTTGTTAGATTAAGTTGTTGGTAAGCAATTTCGAATCGATTAAACTTGAGATTTGTGTTCCAAGTTGCCACGAGAATCAAGTTATTGTAGTAATTAAAGAAATGTTGGTGGTAGGAAAAGAGAAAGAGAAGGCCGAACTAGAGAGGAAAGGAGAATGATTTCTGGATTTTCTATATCTATAAACATATGTACTTGGCTACTTGCTCATTCTTTAATGTCATTTAAATTTGAAATCCAAATTAATTTTATAATTTAATTCTTTCATCTCTCGATCCAAGTCTAATTTTTTTTCGTTTATCGATCGATCGATTATTACGAGAAGTTCACAGAGATCCACGGAACACAAATCCTAACAAGTAGAGGAACTCTCGTTAACCTTTCGCGATATATATAGGTTTTCTTAGGACGCGGTGACGTACCGAGGTTCCAAAAGCAAGGGTCTCTTTGCGGCCATTGATAAGAATCTCCCCAGCTTGGCGGGTATTAGAATTCAGTCTCCCTGCATGCGTCGAAACATTCTCTCTTGTAATCAATCAATCACCAGCAAGTAGACAATAATAATAGTGTTAAGACTCGTTGGCCGTAACCAACCGTAACCTATTTAATTTACTGGCAGAGATGGGTTTGATAATAATAACAACATATATAAATATCGAGCACTTCTACTATGCTATATAGCATTGGTGCTATAATGTACAACTCAAAGTTGTACCATAACATTAAATGTATAAGTTTAGGTTGTACCATAAAGCAATTTGTACAATCATGTTATGGTACAAATTTACAACTTGAAGTTGTACCATCGCATACAGGTACAAGTTCAAGTTGTACCGTAAATTTTTTTGTACAAAAGGTATAGGTACAATCTGAAGTTGTACCATAACGTAAATGTACAATTTTAAGTTATACCATAAAAACAAAAACTTATAGCACCAATACTACATAGCATTGTAAAATTTCTCATAATTACCTGCCAAAGCATCTAGAAGGGTGGACTTGCCGGAGCCGGAAGGCCCCATAATGGCCAGCAACTCTCCGGGGAGAGCATACCCAGTTATCCCTTTCAGAATGGACCGGGATCGCCCCTTCTTCTCCGGCGGCGCGCCACCCACCACCCTTACGCTCAAATCCTTCCATGTCAAAGCAACGCCGCCGTTGTCATGACAATACGCTTGCAATTCTGTCGACGTCATCTCTCTCTCTCCGCCGTAGTATTCTTCCATTTCCACAAAGTATATAGTTTCCCTTCCCTCCCTTCTGTCTGTCGAATGAGTAAGATGATGAGCGGGTGGAGGAAGGCTGGCTGACCGTTGTGGATTATATACATAGAAGGTGAGAGTCGAGATGACGATTACATTCCATTCATGGGGCCGCGTCAATTAGCGCACTCAACAACTCATTTGTGGAATTTAAGCAAAAAAATCAAATCCAATTTATGTGGAAATTGAATAGCGGGCCGGTATTTTTGGTGCTACGGCCCACCCGGTCGGTTCACGAAAGGACTGTGTATCCAAAACGAAAGAGGTGAGACGATGCTGGCCATGGAATTCTTTGCTGCCATTAATGTTGACTTCACAGTAGTTGAGAAGACCGACAACCGTCGCCGTCTATGCAAGCTGGGAGGAATATTGATTAGAGTGTGATCTTGGGTTAATGGATGGCGGGGTAAAGTTTTGGTGTGATCTAATTTGCGATTTAGCCAGATCAGTAACTTTAATTTTTTCCTGTTCAGTTTCCAACTGTAAGGACATAGCACAACACAACAAATAACATACCATTTGTGACGTAGTGAATGAATGTTTTCTATGGATATAGGGTTTTTCGAATTATATAATACCTTACCGATTTTCAAAATTATAACTTCTCCTGCTCTTGAGATAACCAAATAACCTAGTTGTTTATATCTAGGACTACTCGATCTAGCTCTTTTGTAGAAAACGCTGCTCCACAGCTTCAATGATAAATGGCAGGATCAGGATGCATGAAATCACTCAACAATTGGAGCAGAAATTCCTACTCTTATGGGACATGTTTTCTTTTCTTCTAGAAGGAAAATCTAATGGCTGAATTTCATGTGGTTAGTGGCCAGGCCTAGGGGTGGCAGTTCGGTTGTCGGTTAGTGGCTAACAGGTCGGTTAGACCGATAACTGCCGGTTAATGGCTAACCGAAAACCGGCTGTATAAAGCCTCGGTCGGTGGTCGTAGCGACTGGTAGGAGCGTCGGCTAGCCGAGCAATCGAAATCGGCTAACCGGGGCTAACCGATCATTGAAAACTCGCGCCCAAACGCTGTCGTCCTACCCTAAACGACCAAGTATTTATCCTAAAGAAACTACCCCCAGCCCACCCCAAACCCTATCCTCCTCCTTCGTCAACCTCGACCCCTCCCTTCCCTCACCAGTCACCACCAGCAACCACCCCTCGCCGTCTCCACCATCCAATCCAGACGGCCAAACCATCGACGACCCCCGATGAACATCGTCTACCGGCGACCCCGATGAACGTCGTCTACCGGCGACCCCGCGCGACACCCCAACAACCCTGCGCGATCCCCGGCGACCCTCCCGGGATCCAAGCCTGTGACTGCCGGCAACAGCAACCACCTCAACGTCGGCCGCTAGCTCGTCAGTCCGCCATCTCCCTCCCTCGTCGGCCGCCAGCTCGCAAGTTGCCATCTCCCTCCCCCGCCTGTTCCAGCAATCCCCCGCGGCTCAATCATCAACCAGCACCAGTCGCCCAGTCCGCCATCTCCCTCCCCCGCGACTGCGTGACTCCTGCCAAGTCTGTGAATTGGAGGCTGGTGGAAGGAAGATAAGATTGCTGGAATTGGAAGGAAGGTGAGAGAAGGAAGGAGATAAGGTATTTAGGTTTGTGTGGTGGATGGTGGGTTTGAAAAAATGGAAGGAGATAATATTGTGCAGGAGACAGAAGGAAGAAGATAAGGATTGTGTGGTGGAGGATGTGTCTGGGGTTTTTTTTTTTTTGAAATTAGCTAAACGCTGACGTTTTAGAGGGAAGGGGTATTTTTCCGGGTATGGGGTTAACCGAGCCTAAAACCGAAAACCGATCGATCGGTGATCGGTTAGTCGTGGCTCTCTCAATGAAACCTGCTTAATGAGTCTGGATAAGTCTGATAAGGAGGAATGGCACAAACGTTTTGGTCATGTGAATGTAAGTACCTTGTCTAAACTTTACTCTGTTGGATCTGGTTAAGGGTCTGCCTAAAATCAATGAGAAAAAGGACTTCTTTTGCGATGCATGTGCCAAAGGAAAACAAAGTAGATATAGCTCCAAAAGTAAAATTGTCATTTCTACCATCAGACCTTTGGAACTTCTCCATTAGGATATTTTTGGTCCAACTAACGTGGTAAGTTACGGCGCTAAATCTTATGCTTTGGTTGTGGTAGATGACTTCTCTAGATTCACTTGGGTGATGTTTTTGGCCAAGAAGGATGAAGTTTTTTTGAACTTTAAGAATCTAGTGAAGCGTATAGAAAATGAGAAATTGTCAAATGTCTGTACTATTCGTAGTGATCATGGAGGTGAATTTAGTTCAGACTCCTTTGAACTGTTTTGTAATGATTTTGGAATTTCTCACAATTTCTCTTCTCCCAGAATTCCTCACCAAAATGGTAGTAGAAAGAAAAAATAGAACTCTCATAGATATTGCTCGTACAATGTTGCATGACTATGGAATTCCTAAATATTTTTGGGCCGAAGCCATTAATACAGACTGATAAATTGTGAATCGTGCTTTAATCAGATCAGGTATTAATAAAACACCTTATGAGATCTGGAAGGGAAGGAAACCCAATTTGGGATATTTTCATCCCTTCGGCTGTAAATGCTTTGCCTTAAACACGAATGATAGTCATGGCAAATTTGATTCTAAGTAAGACGAGGCAGTATTCCTTGGGTATTCTATGACAAGCAAGACTTATAGGATTTTAACAAGCGGACCCTCAAAGTTGAGGAGTCTGCTAACGTGATATTTGATGAGTCTATTTTTGAGATGACAGATGACTTTGGACTAGGCATAACTCCTACTACGAATGTAAATGAAGACCTGAGTAGAAAACAGTTAGATGAACCACAAAATGAGGTGATCAATATTACATAAAATGAGAATGAGCCTCATCAGACGGGAGTTGAAAGTAGACCTGACGAGAGAAATAAGGGTGCAGAATTACAACCACCACCTCACATCATCAAAAGGCATCCTCCAAGCCAAATTATTGGAAATTTAGGCCAAGGTATGACCACTCGATCTAGAGCTATGGAATCATTCACTGCATTTGTGTCCTTAATTAGTTAATTGAACCAAGGAATGTTCAAGAGGCTCTCCAGGATGAATTCTGGACAGCAGCCATGTTTGAGGAAATGCATCAATTTGAAAGAGCAAATGTGTGGGAATTAGTACCTAAACTTGAAAATAGAGTAATTATAGGTACTAAATGGATTTACAAAAAAAATTCTGATGAAATAGGAATAATTCTTAGGAACAAATCAAGGTTAGTAGCACAAGGCTACTTTCAAGAAGAAGGGATAGACTTTGAGGAAACTTATGCTCCTGTAGCTCGTCTAGAAGCAATTCGCATATTGTGTGCATTTGCTAGTTCTAAGGTTTTAAATTATATCAAATGGACGTAAAAAGTGCTTTTTTGAATGGTGATTTAAATGAGGAAGTTTACGTTTGTCAACCTCCTGGATTTGAAGATCACAGGTTTCCTGATCATGTCTATAAACTAAAAAAGGCTTTGTATGAATTAAAACAGGCTCCTAGAGCCTGGTACGATAAACTGAGTTCTTTTCTTTTAGAAAATGGTTTTCGAAGGGGGTTAGTGGATAAGACCTTGTTTGTCAAACAAAAGGACGAACATATTCTGCTAGTTCAAGTTTATGTCGACAACATAATTTTTGGATCCACTTGTGATGATCTATGCAGAGATTTTGAAACCAAAATGAAAGGTGCTTTTGAAATGAGTCTAATGGGTGAATTAACTTTTATCCTAGGTCTACAAATTAAACAAACCTCTGCCAGGATTTTTATTAATTAGTCTAAATATTTAGTCAATATGCTCAATAAATTTGATCCCAGTAATTTTAAATCTGTTGTAACTCCTATGGCTTCTGCTATCAAACTCGATAAGGATGAGTCAGGCATAGCTGAGAATGACAAACTCTATCATGGAATGATTGGTTAGTTACTTTATCTAACTACCAGTTGTCCTGACATCATGTTCAGTGTGTGTTTGTTTGCTCGATTTCAAAGCTCTCCTAAGGAAAGCCATTTGTCTGCAGTTAAGCGGATCTTTAGGTATCTAAGTGCAACTCCTAGTTTAGGTCTTCGGTACTCTCGAAAGTCCAGTCTAGAGCCCCTAGGTTACTCTGACTCTGACTATGCCGGTTGCATAGTGGATAGGAAAAGTACATCAGGCACCTGTCATTTCTTGGGATCTTCTCTCGTGTCCTGGTTCAGCAAGAAACAAAATTTTGTGGCCCTTTCTACCGTGGAGGCTGAGTACATTGCAGTTGGATGTTGTTGTACTCAACTAATGTGGATGAAACATCAATTACAAGATTATGGTTTAAAATTTGATCGTTTGTCTATCCTGTGTGACAATACAAGTGCAATCAATATGTCCAAAAACCCGGTTCAACATTCTCGAACCAAGCATATAGAAATTCTTTATCACTTATTAGGGATCTGGTTGAGGAAGGAAAAATCTCTCTTGAATTTGTTCCCACATCCTTTCAGTGGGCTGACATTTTCACCAAACCCTTAGGATCAGAACTCTTTATTCCAAATCAGCGAGAACTATGAATGTTTTCTTAGTTAGAGGTGGAGAACCTCTCATGATCATATCGTCTAATTTCCCCTTCCCTAATTACAGTCTCTTCTCCTTTTCTTTAGGGTCAAGGCTTTCATATTCTTCTCAAGTTACTCCTTTTATCCGAGATTTTGTCTTTATTGTATAAGACCTTCCATATTCCCTTCTCCCTCTAGCCTATAAAGTCTGTTTTTCGAATCTAGGGTTTCTCATTCAATCATCTATTCTCATTCGATCATCTCTTCTCTTTGTCCTCATCCTTTCGCATCATGGCTGCTGGACAATCCTAGGTTCCACATATGTTGGCCCAAGCTGCCATTTTCAAAGGAAAGGGGTCCAACAATGCTGAGGATTATGCTCGGTATTTGCTCAAGTTTCAAAATTGTCATTTGTGTCCCTCGGTCTCTATCGATCCCATTCGATTCAATCGTTACGAGATGAATATTCCTGCTCTGATCAATGGTGTTGGCTGGTCAGAGCTGCCTCTAGAGCAGTGCTTCAGTTTCTGTCCTGAGGCTGTGCGCATGTTTTATGCTAACATGCGACCATGCTTCAACATGA